CATTCCGTTTATAATCAGGTAGAATATTTTACAAGTGAATTCTGTTGGCTTGTTTATGTGTCACATCATTTTCATAAGGTTTTTCCAGCATAGATAATGAGCAGTTATTTTACATACCATATCTGTCATCAACAATAGATTGCAGGACAGATCCACAACAGAAAACTCAGCGAGGCGTTTGCAGTAAATACAGGGTGCTTATTATCACCAATGATATTCCTAATTGTGGTGGACTGGATTATGCGTCAGACAGTGAGAAACGAGAAGACAGGGATATCCTGGACCGACATGCAGAACCTAGAAGACCTGGATTTCGCGGATGACTTATGTTTGATGTCACACAAAATCGAAGACTTACAAGCGAAAACCAACAAACTGGTCGAAGAAGCAGCAGCAAAGACAGGACTCCAGGTGAACATAGACAAGACGGAGGTTATGAAAATAGCCAACCAACAACAACAATATCAGCAACATCCAGTGCCAATCACCATCAACAGGGGGGATTTGAAAGAGGTTACTTCATTCACTTATCTAGGGAGCATTGTCTCAACTACAGGAGGAACGGACGAGGATGTCAAATCGAGAATCGGGAAGGCGAGGAACACATTCATCAACCTGAAACCAATCTGGAAATCTTCGTCACTCAGCATCAACAATAAAATGATTCGGATTTTCAATACAAACGCCAAGTCAGTTCTTCTATACGGATCAGAAACTTGATGGGTCACAAAGAATATTTCCAACAGCCTGTTGCAGACCTTTATCAACAGCTGTCTTCATTCTATGCTGAAGATCAGATGGCCGGAAAGAATCACCAACAAGAAACTATGGGAACAAACAAAACAAGAACCAATCGCTCAACAAATATGTAGGAGAAAGTGGAGATGGATTGGACACTCGCTGAGGAGGCCGTTGGGTGACATCGCGCTTCAGGCCCTCGAGTGGAACCCGAATGGGAAGCAGCGAGTGGGACGTCCAAGGGTGACATGGAGTTGATCGTGTGAAGAAGAGTTGAAACAGTATGGACTAACATGGATGCAGGTGAAAAGTACAGCAGAAGACGGAAACAAGTGGAGGCGTGCAGTTGAAGCCCTATGTTCCACTAGGAACCCAAGGGTACAATAATAATAATAATAATTAGTAATGGAATAGTTTGCTTCGAACTACTTGACATACTTGTTGTGTTGTATTGAGTCATTATCATCTTTTCTGAATTGTATTATTCATTGGTCTTGAAGTACCAATATCTATGCTTACCTATCGGTAGACGGGAAGCAGTCTAGTTCTAAACGATGTTAGAAAATTATGTCACTTGCAGATCGGTTAGAACTGATTATATTATACTGTTAATAATCCCTTGGATTCCTAGTGGGACATGGTGTTTCAACAACACAATCCTCCTCCTTATCTGGCTCTATAATTCCTCATATAAACTCTCATCTCCTCTCTACACGATCTCCTTCATGTCACTCTGGGATCCACGTTCAACTCGTCGTTTTCTATTCAGGTTCCACTTGAGCTCTGGCCTGGCATATGGAAAACAGACTGTAATATCCATAGAAATATAACAGTGTACTAGATGTGGCTGGTTTTCAATGGTTCTCTAACTGATATCAGTCCGTGATCAACTGGTAGCAACATAAATTATTTTAATTTGAAACTACTTCAGCTTTTCTATATATTCAACTGCAGATATGCTTTATGTTGACACGTTATGATATGAAGTATTTAGGAATAGGGATTTTTCTAAACAGGCCGCTTTCTTGATGATCATAAAATACTGACTTTTGCTTTGGTTATCACTGATCTTTGACTAATATTCAATAAAATAAATTAATTTCCATGTCTTAGTTTTGAGAGATTTAGCTTCGAGTTTCACGTGTGATCACGGATTGTGATATCAGTTAGGGAACCACTGAAAGCTAGTGAGTACTGTGGAAAGCTGTCCAAGTTTGAGACTCCTCGCCAATACACACCCACTGGGGTCCGAATACAGGACCTTCCGGTTAGAAAGCGAACTCGTAGTACGCACCAATGACCACACTGGGTGGTGTTTTCAGGGTACAAAGCGAATTTGTTGACTACTAATCCACTGCGACAGAATCCGACAGCCCATGTCATCGAAAAGTATTTGCCTTCACGCCTTGACCTAGTGGTTACAGCTTCGTCCTCAGTTTAAGTCGATTGTTATTATATTATTATTAATCCCTTGGGTTCCTAGTGGAACATAGGGCTTCAACTGCACGTCTCCACTTGCTTCTGCTGTACCTTTCACTTGCATCCATGTTATTCCATACTGTTTCAATTCCTCTTCACACGACCTCCTCCATGTCACCCTTGCACTGACGACCAACTCACCGCTTCCCTTTCGGGTTCCAATCGAGGGCCTGACGCGCAATGTCACCCAACGGCCTCCTCAGCGAGTGTCCAATCCATCTCCACTTTCTCCTGCATATTTGTTGGGCGATTGGTTCTTGTTTTGTTTCTTCCTATAGTTTCTTGTTGGTGATTCTTTCCGGCCATCTGATCTAGATAAAGGTCTGGAACCTGTTGGAAATATTCTTGGTGACCCGCCAATTTTCTGATCCGTATAGAAGAACTGACTGACTTGATGTTTGTATTGAAAATCCGAATTTTATTTTTGATGGTGAGTGACGAAGATTTCCAGATTGGTTTCAGGTTGATGAATGTGTTTCTCGCCTTCCCGATTCTCGATTTGACATCCTCGTTCGTTCCTCCTGTAGTTGCTGCTGTTGTTGTTGTTGGTTGGTTATTTTCATAACCTCCGTCTTGTCTATGTTCACCTAAAATCCTGTCTTCTCTGGCTGCTTCTTCGACCAGTTTGTCGGTTTCCGCTTGTAAGTCTTCGATTTTGTGTGACATCAAACATAAATCATCCGCGAAATCCAGGTCTTCTAGATTGTTCATGTCGGTCCAGGATATCCCTGTCTTCTCGATTAGAAGGCATAAATAACAACAAATTAGCATGTTCTGTAGCATCTTTAAATCTAGGCATTATGATAATCTTAGTTAATACACTTATAGTTTTATAATACAGGAGAGACTCTGATAGTCATGACTAATGACTGTAGCATCTATTTAAAATTGTGAATATTATGCATACGAATAAATCATTCCTACATTTCTCTTGTTTTTTGAATGGTGTTAGAGAAGTTTCACAGTGAATTAGGAATTTTAAAAAAAACTTTGGAGTACACTTATGAACTATTATTTAACCTTTAAAAAGTATGTAGCCTGTTCTCTGTGCATTTTTGTCACCATACCCATACATATCAGTGTAAAGAATCTAGAAATACAGTTATGCATATTATTCACAAATTCATAAACCTCGGTGTAATACTCTCTAAAGTGTTTTGTTTTGGAAAAAAGCCGGTATGTAGATTATGATGCTTTAAATTACATATAGTTGTTAGCTCCTATTGTTACTGTGTTTATGTGTGTACTGTGAATTGTTTATGAGTTATATTCAGACGACACACACATATATATCCTTATTTGTCTGAGTTAATAAGTCGATTTTAGTATTATGTAGCCTGGTTATCTATATCTAATGTTAAAGTAGAATATAATTCCATATTAGATAAGCTTATTTGATATGATACACGATGATCCAGTTGTCAATAACTGGGTAACATTTTGAGGACAATTTATTGCGCATAGTTATATCAATGTATTTATTCATCACTTACTTTATGTACTTTCACTCCCACCTGTTTGTCTTTTTATTGTAACCGAAGTAGATATTAGTCACAAAATAATTGAGCAAAGAATATCCTTTTGGATAAATTCCTCTTCTGGCTCTACAATTATATATGTATGTTTATTTATATGCATAGAATATTCTACATTAGTAGTCGCGCTATGTTGGGAGTTGGCAGAAGTTAGAATTCATGGGTTGGCCATTGGATCGGGTCCCAGTGGCTTAATGGTATACGAGCTCGCCTTGTAACCAGAAGGTCCTGGGTTTGAATGCAGGTGGGTGCGTACTGATGAAGAGTCCTAATCTAGGCTGACGAAACAGCTGTCCAGTACTCCCAGGTTTTCCAATGATTCTCTAATTAATGTCAGCTCATGATGAAAATCCTGTAACCAATCAAATCCCTACAAACCAACACTTTAATAATATCGATTTGTAAACTATGATCAATGCAATTACAGTTCATTAAAGATGCTTAAATTATAATAATAATAATAATAAAGATATAGTAGCAAATAGAATATCAACTAAAATTAGGAAAACTCCACAAAAATTCAGGATTATTCAAACCTAGATGGCCAAGGTAAGGATAATGTCTAAACTAACTTCTTTTGAATGCACAAATTAGGCTTGTTAATATGGATCCCCACAGCTTCAGCAATATTTAGTAGTCGAACTCTTAAAGCGAAATTGCGATTCGTAGGTATGCGGTAAATCACCACCCTTAAAGCCTGGTTAACGTCAATCTTGTGTTCTGTATCCACAAGATGAGAGAGAATAGCACTGCGAATAGATTTTGTTTGTTCTTTGCTTAACCACTATGCAGGGTGATGTTCGGAAATGAAAATTGATATGATTATGAGCAGTAGACATTGTGCTCACAACTTTATCCAGTTAGTTATTAATACTTGAGTATAACTGTATGTTATATCAAGTTAGTGTGCGTCGGTGGTTAAGCAGTAAGATACAAGCCGACCATCCATATGGTCCGGGGTTCGATCCCGGGCTGACGCACTTCTAAACCTTGCTAAACCGATAGAGGGAAGATCAGTAAAGAAGGAAAGTTGGGCGTGAAGCTATCACCTCCACCTCATGAAAATCAGAACAAACCCACTGCTATCGAAACTTCAAAGCTCTAGCTTGAAGCCCTATACGCCACTCAGAACATAAAGTAATAAAATACTCTTAAGGTAACTCATTTAAACCCTTGTGTTTCCCAGTTAATCATTAAAATGTTGTCATTGATTTAACTGAATTTATCTGTTTCCTTCTATTCTTTTAGCTGTAATGCAAGCTCTATGCACTCTGGGGAAAACAACATCTGTTCTACAAGAACCAAATAAATTACCTGAACAATCAAGAATATCATCTATTGAGAATTTATTTTGATTATTCATTGTGAACTATTTTAAAATATAAAAAAGCATTAGTGTAAAGAAGTTGATTACTCATGAATGAATATCAATCAATAAATATAAACTGTACCACCACCTCTCATGCATGTATGCATATATATGTATATGTGCGCGTGATTGGTTGGTTAATTGGATTTGTGTGATATTTCATTGTGGAATTCTTTCTTCATTTCTTTATTTCTTCTCTAACATAGTTACTACTTTGTTTTTATTGTTGTATAAATAAGAAAACAAAGATCTATTTTGCCAGTCTAGTCTGTCTTTCCCCATATATATATATATGTATATATATATATATATATATATATATATATATATATATATATATAATATTTATACCTTGCTGCCACATTATATTTCCTGTATCTATTTCATCTATATTTCTTCTCTCTATTTTTGATAGAATCCAAGATACAGTCGTGTATTCATGGATCCTTCTGACATGCATAAATGATTACACTAAAGCACATTTGCCTTTATTTTATTTATTAATTTATTTATAAAAATAGAGTTCCCTTAGTATTTTTGTATGGGACAATTAATCATTCATTACTGTTATTAGTAATGCTTTTTACTGTTGTAATTATTATTATTATTATCACTGCAAATTAGTTGGCGATCTATCCTCACTTATGATGTAATTCTCTCTTCTGACAATTGAGCAGGTGCAATCGAGTTTATTTATATGCCTATGTATTACTGGTAGTGTACCTTCTTTTTGCTGTTGTTATCTCCTTCCTTGCATCTACATGATGCATTTTTAATTGATGTAAGCATAGACTGGCTCTATTCATTTTTATTATTTCTCTTTTTTTTAATAGTCATATTGTGATAATAGTTATTTATTTATTTATGTGATTTTATTCTTTAGTCTTTCCCTTCTCATTTCTCTTCTTTTATTGCATTGTCTTTCTCTGAGTAGTTTAAAAAAAATGTAATGTACACTGGTCATAGCGATGCATACATGCGTATTTGTGTGTATGTGCGTGTGTGTGTGTTTGTGTATATACACGCGTGTATCCACCTTGTTTCCTTCTTATGCTTTCAGATCTGTAATACATCGATTCAGAATAGTGTGTGTTTGTGTGTGGTAAGTTGGGTTTTCGAACTGTTTATTTCTTATTAATCAAAGTACAAACACTTTTACCAAATTCATTATGCTTATTATGTCTAACTTGTATTCAGGCGTTACATTTTTGTTTTCCTAATTAATTATCTCAGTCTATTCATATTTGAAAGGGGACAATAACCCCTCTTTTTTTACTCTTGAACCACCATTTTATTTCTCTTTTTTATCCGTTCTACTTTTTTTCTCTCTTCCTAATGAAAACTGAGTTATCGCCTTATATCCACTTTTTTTTTCTCACCTTCATTTATATATCATTAATTTGGATAAATTAGAAGAGAAGGGGTGTGTACAACTTCAGGTAAAACATACAGGAGTTGAGATTTGTAATCGAGGATGAAGTTAAGAATTCTTTGGTGTTTTCGTAAACGTTGCGTCGTCTCACTCTAGAAGAAGAAATGAACAAATAAAAAGTTAACATCTGTTGTTTGTTACCAGTGGTATCAATAGAAAACGTACCTTTTTTGGATGTGTGTTAGTGAAACAGAAGCCGTGACCAGTAGGTCAAAGATGAGGCAGTAACTCATCGCAGAAGACATTGGCTAGCGGTCGCGCTATGTCGTGAATTGGCAGATGTTAGAATTCAAGAACCATTGGATCGGGTCTCAGTGGCTCAATGGTGTACGAGCTTGCCTTGTATCCATAAGGTCCTGGTTTCGAATCCCGGTGGGTGTGTACTGATGAGGACTCCCTAACTAGGACGAAACAGCTGTACAGTGCTCCGAGGTTTTCCAATGGTTCTCTAACTGATGTCAGCTCATGATGAAATCTTGTAATAATAATCTACTTTATTCCAAAAACAGTACTTATAAGACAGAATGGAATTCTCAGCATTTGTCACAATACTGTATCTGATTTACTCAAAAAATAAAATTAACCAGAGGAGTTTGCCCATATTTAAGGTATAAAGTCAAAAATATTCGAAGTACAAAATGAGAATAATAATAACAGTGAGTTTGTTTCAAACAGTATTGTCGATTCAGTTTGGAAATCCTAGAATGTTATAGATTATTGAATTTAAAGTTCGGTTGCTATAGTATGGTGAGAAGAAACACAAAATCAACAGTTATAACACAGCTTAAAACAAAAAATTGAGAGGATTATAAATATAGGAAGAAAAATAACAATAAAGCTTGGTGAAATAAGGATGGAGAAGGTGGTTTATTTACTAGTGCAAAGAAGGTTAGTTAGTTCATGCCTGAAACTATTTTCATCACATAAAATACGTGCCAAATATGGTATAGTGGAATTTCTATACTTAGACGTAGGCGCATAAAGTCTTTTGAGAAAACACTTCTTGTTTTACCTGAGGAGATACAAGGTTGGAGCTGCGGGTGCTGTGGTGGATGCTAACAGTCTGACAAAACTCCACTAGCAAATTTGTTGCATGAAATCAAGTTCCCATCGTCAATGACGATGTCAACGATTTAGCCAAATGAGATACCACCCAAACTACCGACAGCCTTCAGAGTTCTACGAAGTATGACATAGTCTTTCTTAAGCAATCCAGGAAAGAATAAGGGTGAACAGTAAAGAATAATAGGTAAGACGCAAGAGTTCACAAACGGTAAGAGGAGTGCCTTAACTTCTTAATACTTAACGAAAGGACTTATCATATTTACCAAAGTACTATTCTTTCTTTAGATTAACTGATCTTTTTAACATTATCAAAAGGTGGATTGCAAGAAAAACAATTACGCGTTATTATTTAGAGCATTATTTCATCAAACTGTGGTGAGAGCTGTCTACTAGCCAAATTGGTAGACAGTAATTGACGTCAATGTTTACGTTCTCAAGATTGGTCGTGAGAAAATATGAACAAAACTGATTCAAAAACCGACCACAGCAGACTTTGCGTAGGCGGATACAGTTAACATATAGATGATTTGACATTCAAGAAACAGTCACAAAGAGATGAAAGATTAACTTTACGTGAGAAACAACCAATCAGAAGACTGTGTTTGTTTGCTTAACTTATCTATGATAATGTACATGAAAATATATAAATATGCTTTGATTTCCTTAATAAACGATCTGTTGCCTGGCCCTTGTCTTCTGTTGTTACAAAACAGTCTAGGAGGTCACTGTTTTTGAAATGTTACATAGCACTGTTGATGTCGTCATCATAGAGATCTGATTATAAGGTTTACAAACCTCTGCTTTCTGCTCTGTATAGAAAAATGCTAAGGAGTACAAAGATCTCGTCATTACGGCTGATTATGATCACGATAAACAGACCTTGTTTTGAAATTAGTTAATTTAAAAAAATTATTTTTAAAGTCAGACTTGGTGAATTATGGATAAGTAGTAGAAATTTTTGGTACAAGATGAGGATTCAATTAGTTCATTATTTGATACTCTGTTCAGTCGCGAACGTTTCATTCTTAATGCTAACCTTATTATTAAGTGAAGTATATTTCTACTGGTTGCATAAATATTCAGTCATCTTTCTTGTCATTTGACTTTTGTTTAGTTGAAATTGATAGAAAAGATTTCTTGTCATCATGAACATTTTGACTTTAAATCCTATTGAGTCACAAAATGTTCAGTTTTTTTTACTTCTTGTAGTGTGATTCTTTATACAGCGAAGAGATTCTTTCCAACGAATTTATTATCAAGCTGTACAATCGTATATATATGGCTTTTTTAAGAAAGATTATAATGATAAAATCTCTGCGATCCTTTCCGACCAAATGAAATTCGCCAAACTTGATGGTGAAAAGAACAAGACACATCTAATTGCAAATCAACTGACTGATGTCTTAAAGGACATGAGGAATAAGTCAGTAATCTCGTCAGAAATATATGAACGCATCCGACCAGTAGGCTCCATGATACCACTTTTGTATGGACTACCTAAAATTCATAAGACAGGATTACCCCTCCGTCCTATCCTCGATATGGCGGGTTCTCCTTATCACGGAATCGCTCAATGGCTAGCTGAAATACTGGAACCAGTTAGAAGGCAAGTATCTAAGTTTTCCATTGATGATACGTCTAAATTTATTGATAGCAACAAAGATTTCACTGTCTCAGATAAAATCTTGTTCTCATTAGATGTGACATCGCTATTTACCAATGTTCCTCTCATGGAAACTGTTTGCTACTTATGTGATTATATTGATACACATAGTTTAGAAATAGGACTGCCGACCATCTACCTCAAAGAGCTTTTATTGAGATGCACGTTGAATGTTCAGTTCACCTTCAATAATGAGATCTTTAGACAGAGAGACGGCATTGCCATGGGATCACCACTGGGTCCCTTGTTGGCTGATTGTTTTATGGCAAAGCTTGAAAATTCTCAACTTAGTCAAACCATCGGTCATTTTGACATTTATAAAAGATACGTAGACGACACTTTCGTTATCTGCGATAAAAATGTAATTCTTGATGATGTCTTGTTTACTTTCAACAACTGCCATCCTTCTTTACAATTCACCGTAGAAAAGGAATCCGAACTAAGTATTCCCTTTCTTGATGTGTGCCTTAGCAGACGTAATGACGGATCTCTCAAAAGATCTATCCACCGGAAACGTACATGGAACGGACAACTAACTAATTTTTACAGTTGGGTGCCTATTTCCAGGAAAAGGAACTTAATTCATTCGCTCTGCTCTAGGATAAGGAAAATTTGTAGTTCTGATTCCGTTGACTCAGAACTTGACTTCTTAAAAGCCACTCTCGCAGAAAACGGTTACCCTAACCGATTTATTGACAGCAACATGAAAGATAAGCAGTCTAAACTGGTCACCGACACAGTTCCAAAGAAAACCTTATTCATGAACTTGGAATTCAAAGGTGATCAAGCTTCAGATATGCTCAAAAATCGTCTCTCTAAATCAGTCAGTAAGACGTTCTATGCAGCAAAATTACATATGACGTTCACTAGCCGCAAGTTGTTCTCTACCTCTGTAAAAGATAAGCTCCCCCGTCTGGCCGCCTCCATGTGCATCTATCAGTTCACCTGCTCTTGTGGAGCAAGGTACATTGGCCGTAGTCAGAGGACGCTTTCCACACGGATACGAGAACATATTCCAGCATGGTTTTACAAGGGAGAAAGGAAGTGTGTGCGAAGCTCTATTTTGGAACACCTGATCGACTTCTGTCACTCTGTCAACCCTGACCATGATTTTAAGATCATATATAGAATCCATGCTAACTTCGCCGCGTTTTCTTCGTTACAGACTTCTAAAGACAGCTGAGGCCTTGGCAATTCATGACTTTAAGCCAGACCTTTGTGTACAAAAGAAGTATGTACAATCCCTACTTCTGCCTTGGCCGTAGAGGGATAGACATTTATTTATTTTGTTTATTTAGTTATTCTATGTACTTTTCCCTTATTACTACGATTATTATTAATATTATTATCATTATTATTATTACTATTCTCACTCTGAATCTTTTCCATTGACCCACTTGACATTTTAAACCCAAAATTATTAATTTTTATATTTTTTATTTTTACAATATTGAATTCTATCTTATCAAATTTCACACCATGTTATGTAACATTTTATATTCGTCTACTAATCTTATAATTATGTACCCCTTTCCAAAATCTATACACCTTATGTATTATTCTATATACGACATTAATTATTTTGCCACTTGACATTAAACTATGATTATAATCACAAATATTTTAATTGCATTTCATACTATTATTATTTCATGTATTCACACCTTTGACCTAATTCCCTCACCGGATATAATTTTTAAAAAAAACTATATATATACGATTGTACAGCTTGATAATAAATTCGTTGAAAAGAGTCTCTTCGCTGAATATTGTGTTCCCCTCTACGTTCCGAGGGGAACATAGGGCTTCAAGCTAGATCTTTGAAGTAGCAGTAGTTGTATTTTTACGGGGTGGGATTGGTGGCCTCACACTCAACCTTCCCTTTCTACCGGCCTTACTATCAGCTGAGGGAGGTTTAAGGGTGCGTCAGCTGGGATCGAATCTTGGATCACGTGCGTGTTTGGTGAGCGTTCTACTGTTGAACCACCGGCGCATAAAACTGTTTCTAGCCAGTACTAATTTCAGATAAAGCGACTTCCTAGATCATATCTGAATAATGACCGCGTGTCTTTTCGTGCATGCATCTGTCTGCATCTTCATACACATAAGACACCAGTAAATGCAAGACATTTTCAAAGAAACCTAGATAATACACATACATGGATTTTATGATGACAATTGAAGAAGAGTGACCAGAGAGCTGAAGAAACAAGATAAAGTTGCTACTCTTGAAAAAGCCACAAATGTTTGCGATTTGCCATGCAATCGGCATTAGATACTGTTTCAAATCACCAAAGAAAAAATGGTTGAGAAACATAAGTCAACTTCCGTATCTTCATTAAAACTCATGGGTCCATAAAACCGCATTCTTCTGTGACACATCAAAATGAACCATGAAATCAGAGGTGGTGAAGAGGGAATATTAAGGTGTTTGAGAAGACAGTGGTGGTAGACACCACCATAAAACTATTTTTGCAGTCAGAGGCACTGACTTCAATAGGCTGGGTATAATACACAACGGCAATACGCTCCCATGAAGGATGATTGACAAAACAGAAAGAACAATGTGATGAACAGTTCACCTAACCTCCAGACATTCTTCACTCACCAGCAATCGTTTACAGCCTGAACTAGCAATTAACATAAATTTAAAGAGACTATAAAAAGCTAAAATTAACTTTCAAAGTAAGATGGCGATTTTTTATTTCAAATCATAAGGTTACAGTCTTTAACTAAACTGATTAAA